CCACACACAGAGGGAAGGTGACTTGAATACTGTTCCCACAGCCGAGGGTGGCCAGCTACACAACAGTTTAAGCCAGTTCACACCTCTTTCTCTTCCTACTCTGTCTGTCTCCTCTCCTCAGGCTGTTAGCAACATGCAGCAGGGGCTCTTCAAGCAGCCTGCCTGACCCTCACCGTCAGCGAAAGTACGGCTTGAGTTTGCTCAAGTGCACCAGTAGCAATAACAAGCGGAGCTGGAACCACCTCCGTAAACTAAGGATGAGGAACGGTGCTCTGCGCCACGCAGGTGGGACAGGGAGGGAGGCGGACGGGACGCTTGCTAGCAGACTCCTAAGCACATCAATGCACTCTCATCATTCAGCAGTTTGCTATTGTCCCATACCCAAATTCTGATAATCACCAAACACCTCGGAGGTCAAGCAGACCTATTTACTTGAAAACCATGTGTACTCAGTTGATGAGAGAATAAACAGAAGTTACTCTTTGCCTCTATAAACAAAGAACGTGCTGGGGAAATGCCAAGTCATTCGAGAGAATCAAGGAGCGATTAACTGGGTCACAATGATGGCAATATATGTACTTATCTTAAATCCCTACCTCATGCCCTCTGTCTTGCACAGGACATGATTCACTGTCTGCTTCTGAGAATGACCCAGACTCATCGCTGGAGTTTGTTCCATAGGATGGCTCACATTTAATCTGGGCTCGGACCGGGTTGTACAATCCGTCCCCCACCACGCCGGGCTCCTGGTGCTCGGGCGCCAGGAATCGGGGGCCTTGGGAGCAAGGGGAAGAGGAGAGCTCGCAAAGACGCAGACTGCAGGGAGAGCCGCCGCTGCCATCCTCTGCGTACGAGTAGGAAGAGCACGAGCTGGAGGTCCTGGTTCTGGTTTCCAAAGGAGGAGAACGAGGGCAAACTTTAATTGGCACCGGACAGCTGGTGTTTGGCCGCATCCTTCCCGGCAAGTGATCAGCTGTCAGTCCGCTGTGCGAATAGGTCTGAGAGCTGGGGAGAGACTGGCTACTGCCAGCCCACAGACCCTTTGGCACAGTCTCAGTGAGGTCTTTGTCCAAGCTGCTCACACCAGAATATGAATGCACCGAAGTGTTTACTTGGTCACAAGCGTTTGAAGAGAATATAACACTCCTCCTGTCCAGTTCCCCTTCTTGCTTACAGAGAGTTTCAAAGCCGGGCCCCCTGAGCGGTGATCCCACTGTGAAGTTGGAAGCATCCTTCTGCATGGCATGGGACTGTCCATAGTTCCCTGTGAAAGGGATGTAATCAGTTTTGTGGTCACCCTGAGTTGTCCCTTTTTCAAAAGGGCATGCTGGACTCCTGCCAAAGTGCTGTTGGGAAGTGCTGGGGAAGCCAACCAAATCTATGCTTTTTGTTCTGTTGAAGAAAGATCGCAAGCAAGAAGGAGAGGACCCACTTTTTGGCCTGTCGACGCAAGTGGGGCTTGGCTGTTTCCTGTCCATTTCAACATCCCCTTCTTTATCCCTGATGTCAGGTTCATCTCCAGACAGGCAAAGTGTGATGCTTTCTTCATCGTTCTCTTCATTCTGAGGCTCGCTTTTTATCTGCCCCATAGCAAGTCCTGATTTGAGGCCATTTCCAGAGCTCTCTTCGCTGAATGTGCTTGCAAAACCTGAGGTACTGATGTGTGATGTGTTGTAGACATTCTTGGTACAAGCAAGCTGGTATTTCTTGTATCTGGGGTACCGTGTTACTGCATCTTTGTCCAAACTGTCCTTGCTATCTCTCAGCATGTCAGAGTCAGGCAACATCCCTTCGCTTTTGTCTGCTCCAGCAACAGTGGTTTCAAAATTGAAGGGCTCTTGGTGCATCCTCTCTCTTGGGCAAGATATTTTTGACGTCTCCGATTCCATCGTCTCCTCCTCGTCTCCATCCGAGTTCTCCTCATCGTGCATGCGCTGACAGGTGGTATCTTTTTTGCACAGGAACAGGCCATCTTCGTTGTTCAGCAGCTGCGTCTGAAGGAAGCTGAAGCAGGAGTCCTCCAGGTTGTGCATGCGCAGGAATTCAGCGCAGTGGATGACCTCCTGGATGTTTTCTCTGCTGAGTAACAGCTTAGCAGTGTAGGCAAACTGTAACAATGGACCAAATCCCCTGACAGTGACCTGCAAAAAAAGAGGGAAATTGCCAGTGTTACCATCAGCTCTTGCTATCATCCCAAGTCCTTCCTCACTTAGATAACCTAACAGGTCTAGCATCCAGAAATAAATACTGCTCAGTGCCAGTTATTCTTCTATCATGCCAGCAATGATGCTACATCCAGTAACTAGCACTGCTCCCTTTTATGTTGCTCCTGTCCATCATTGTACAGGTTGAGCTGAGCACTATTTTTCCCAGATATCGTGAAGACCTATGAATCAAGCCTCTGCTCTAATAAAAGACTGGTGTGGACACTGCTAAGTCTTGGATGAATCTTATTTAATTGTGATGCAGCACACTACCATGAAAGTACCAATTCCATTCTGATTCTTCTGCCCTGATGGAGGCTCTGGCAAACACTGGTTTCAAGTTTAAGATACCACTTAAATCCTGAAAGTGTTTTGGGAAGGAAACATTTACTATTATAGCAAAATTCAACAGAAAATATCTTTCTGCCTCTTTGAAGAGCAAACCAGTTTCTTTTTTTCTTCTCAAATTTTTGCAAGCCACTGCTGAATAAACAATAGGTAAGTACTGACTGCACAGCTCCTTTCTGCATCCCACGGAGATTATTCTCATACTGTTCCTGATTTTGGTGAGTCTAAGGTACAGCTAACAGGAAACAGATCCATATTCACAGTTCAAGTGATACAAATCATTCCGAGTCCCACCTCAGTATGTAATTTTCCACTATTTTCTCTGTAGAAAGAGTAACACTTGTTTCCAGGAGAGTGATCTCCAACCAACTGTTCCAGGTCTGAGTTATGCACCACTACTACTCCTTTTTTCTCATCATATCATCTATATTTTACGTTGACATATCATATATTAAAAAACACACACTCCCCCCCCCCCCCTATTTTTTACAGCGGTATCTTCACACATAACTATCAAATAACTTGCTAAGTCACACGGTAAACTATAGATACTGTCTATTTTTTTGACGAAAAATGCACTGGCACTAATTTCTGTTGCATTTTTTTCCCCCAATGGGCAGGAAACAAAGCTACTGGAAAACCTCTATTCTTCATGAAGCAGTGAGAGGCTCCTTCAAAACCAGGGCTCACCATCAAGGATAAAGCTTCCTCCACAAGAAGGAGATTCAGTGGTTTGGCCACTAAGTTGGTATTTGGGAGACCACAACTCAATTTCCCATTGCACCACCCATCTTCTACATGACCCTGGCAAGTCACTTCACTCTCGATTCACCAAGACACCTTCCTGCCTTGCCTGCAAGTGGTAATCACAAACCTGAGTTCCCTGTGCTTTGCATACCAAGGAAAGGCATCATCTAGATGGGATACAGAGCAGCCAAACACCTGCACGCCTATGTGAGGTTGGGATGCACAGCCTGCAACCTCCCTCTGGCCGTAGGTGTTTCTGGTAGGTGTTCCCAGCTCAGTTTCTCCTCTTAAAACGAACAAGAAAAGGAAGCACTGCTGTCCCCTTTTCGTAAAATGATCTAAAGATCAGAAGAGGGACCTAGAAAGTAGGAGACCAGGTCCTTTCCCCAGGCTGTGGGGATTCAAACTCACGTTTCCCAGCTCTTCAGAAGAATATCCCATCTAGTAGGTATGGGATAGCCTGAAGGTGAGCTGCTTCTCCCTGTCCTTCCAACTGAACTAACGCCACCGAGCAAGAAGCTGCTCAAGAGGTCAATGATACATCAGGCCATGAATTTGCGATGGTTTTATTCATGATTAGCATAAAACTGAGTGAATAATTTGGTTCATCCCAATGAAAAGCCTATAAATTGCCTACACTGCCTCAGGACCAGTGGAAGAGCTCACAGACTTTTATAAAAAATCCTGACTTCCAGAAACAAGCCTTTGTTATTCATAGATCTGCACTTGTGATGCTGGATTATGAAGATTACACAAGCGGTGCAGACTCTGATGGAGAGAAAAATATTTTAAAACACCTCTAAAATTTCTCCCAATAGCTCTTCCATACATATTATTAGTGTTGTACACGCTATTTTAAGAAACAGTGCATTTTCATGCACATACTTACACATTCCTGTTTTACAATACGCCTCTGGTACAGCATTGCCTAGATTTACAGCTGGCTATTAAACTGATCTCCGCTTTATCAGTGTTACACTTTCTGCCTATTTGTTAGATTATCAGCTCACTAAAGGCCTATCTGCACTTTATCTATGCAGCAAGATTAACAAAATTGCTCGGGAATTTAATGAGCTACTCACAGGCCAATGTTTCTCTTTGATAAGATCTTCAGTGGGGGGGGGCTTACATATTCCTACACACCTTGTAAACTCCGCAGTAGCGTAGGTCTGTAGGAGCAGCTGTAAATAACCGCCTGGGGTTTTTGGGTCCCTTTTGATGAGGAGGGACTGTAGACCACAAAGGCAGCCCTCCGGGCAGTTGTGTTACTTGGCCACTAGGTGGAATGACTGGAAAGCAAATTAAAATAATTTTCTGTGCTGGGCCAGGGTTTCACCTGCCTGCCTGCCTGGGCCAGCTGCAGAGCCTCCGCCTGACCCACAGCACCCCACAGCAAGGCTGTCTCCCACGCTGACTCAGCTTTTTGCTCCCAATAAGAAGCACTGTGATAACAAACAGCAGCAAGACAGCTGTTACAGCTGTTCCGCGCTGGATGTATCGGAAACAGAGCCTGAGACTGTGCCGTGGGCTCCCCACAATGCCTGGCAGATGCCTCAAGTGAAGGATGATGAAAACACTGGTCAAACGAGTGCCTTGACTTCCATGTGAGATCATACCTGGAGATACAACTTTCCTCACTCTCACAATCTTCAGATCCAAAGGGGAAAAGTTTCTTTTCAAGCACCCGGCGCTTGTCATTGCTCTCAGGGAGCAACCTCTCAAGTGCCAATGCTTGAAACTGCACAAACAATAACTTTGGTAACAAACCGATGCAAAGCTTGCGGGCCAATTGAGAAAGGCAGTGCAATTTCTGTCACCTGAATCTGTCTAAATATTAATTCGGCTCCTGTGGCGGGGGGGCGGCCCCCCCCCCCCCCCGCCCTGGGGCGGGGCCCCTGCCTCAGCCCCACCAGCTCTGGGTCTGCCCACATCTGATGCATTCTGGCAGGAAGGCTGGAACCGAGGCGCTGGAGCGTGGCTAGGAACACCGCACACTGGGAAAGAAAAGGCTTCGAAGCTGCATGTATTACCATCACACATGCATTTCCGTAGGAAGAGGTAAGAACAGTCTTTTAAAATGATTTGACCTGACTGATTCATCCCAGTGAAAACAGTTAGTGAAACCAAGTTGATCTGTGTTTGCAGAGGGAAACAGATAATTTCTCTGATATAACAGTCTCCATTTACATGTGAGAGAGACCTTTGCTGGATAGGTAAAACACATGCCAGCAACAATCTCAGTTTATTTTTTTCCTCTACTGTAAATAAGATGCCATATGTCCAAGATTTGTTTGCTTTTACACCTTATTTTCCATGCAAACTAATGCTTAAGTAGGCAGGTCAATTTGTGGGAACCTCCACTGGGCAATTTGTCCAAGCTCATATGCCAAGGCACTGCTTCCCTGCCCTCCCATCATTTGCCTTATTCCAATTTCTACCCGTTCCTATTGTTTACATGGAACTGACTGGCAACAAGAAAACCAGGCAGAAAAAAGGTAAAATGTACCACATAGGTAAAATGCCCACATAGACAAGAAAAGCAAAGCAAAGATCTCAGCTTCTCAGAGGCTTGTTTCCCCTTATCGTTCAAGGTAGGCCAGAAGAGGACTTCTCTTGTGTACCTGAAACATGCCAAACACTCCGTCAAGTCTAAGGATGAATCTTTTTATTTCGTCTTGCTCCTGTCCCCAGCTGATCTTGCACGCACTGAAACCCTTCCGCACACCTAGTGCACAGAGGACACAGGTACCGCAGCCTTGCCTAAGCCCCCTGGCACATCTTCTTGCTCTACAGCAATCCAAGAGATCAAGCACCGGGGGTCCATGTGCAGCTCCTGCCTCTGCTGTGCCGCCGTGGGTACGTCACGCTCAGCACCTGGTATGGAGGTCTACGTCAATTCAGCGTCGTGGCGATAACAAGCCTGACCACTGCTAAGGTGAAAGAAAGTAAGTTCTCCAGCCCTTTACCTGCTGCTTGCCTTTCAGATTGAGCTAGCCGAGCCAGGGGACATGTTTTCTATGTCCATGCCCTCATGAGTTTATGATACTGAGGAACGGGCTGGAAATAATGCAACGATATAATCACTATCAAGAGAGTTGTTAATCAGCATTAGCCATATTGAATTTACTGGCAAAATACAGACAGCAGCTTTGCAGAAAATAAGCATGCAAAATCTATTTTAGTTCAGTTTGACACTGCTTTTCTCCTTACAGAGTCCTGTGGAACCCAATGCTCTGGTTAGTTTTAATTGATTTAAGTGAGCAGACTTCCACTACTTCCTTTGGGAGATCATTGCCAGACTCTGCTTAAAACCTCCTTGTGAGGAAATATTCCTTCCCTTATTTTCCTCCATCATCTCTCATTGTATTTCCTCGATGCACTCCAGGTAATGCTTCTCCCTTTTTGAGAAACAGTTGTATCATTGTCATGCTCTCTGCCTTCCCTTCTTCTTTGGTTGGTATTATATCATTAACGAAAAACTGGCTAATTCAAGGAAAACAATATTGATCACCCTCAGACGGGAGAAAAAAAAGCTGAGATGAGAGCCAGCAATGAGGAATGCTAGTAAAGAAGGCAGCATTACAGATGCAAATATAGAGTGGTTTTAGCACAGCATTTTTCTAGTACTGGACATGCTATTCTAAAGTTAGGAGGAGGGTTAGCTCACTTCCACATTAGGAACACCGGATTTTCGCAAGGGACTTCTAGGGCAGAAATTCTATTTTAAATATCGTCGTACACACACCCACAAGCTCCACAGGAGACACAGCACCGTGGCTGAACTCCCTCCGGTTCCCTGTTGTATCGGGTCTCCTCCACGACAGTCGATCAAGCATCCCGCG